TTACTACTATCTGTTCAACAATTTACCTATTCAACAACTTGTCTACAAATTTACCTATAAACTTGTTAATCAATTTACCATTTTGCCGACTTACCAATTTACCTGTCAACCTATTTACCTATCAACCCGTTTCACATGTCTACCAATTTACCTGTCAACCTGTTTATCCGCCTTGTTATTTGTCTATCTACCAGTTGTCCTGTCTACCATTTTACATATCCTCCAATTTACCTGACCACCAGCTATCCAGCAAATTACCTTTTCACAAATTTACTTGTCTACCAATTCACCTGTGTATGAATTTACCTTTCAACCTATTTGCCTATCAACCTGTTTATCAATACACCATTTTACCTGTCAACCAATTTACCTGCCTTCCAATTTACCTGTCATCCCATTCTAAATGTCTACCAATTAACCTGTTTAATAATTTACCTGTTGACAATTACAATTAACCTGTTTAACAATTTGTCTACTGATTTAACTATCAACCTGTTTATCAATCTACTATTTTACCGGCCAACAAATTTACCTGTCATCCCGTTCTACATGTCTATCAATTAACCTGTCAACCTGTTTATTTGTCTACAAATTGGTCTATCTACCATTTTATATATCCTCCAATTTACCTGTTTATTAGTTTACCTTTATAAACTCTCTAATTCACCTTATTTATTTACGCATTATAAAAACGTTAAAGCTCACATTGATTCTACGTTTTAGTTAGAAAACGTTTGTATGTGAAAAAGGAAAAGGCTGTTTTTAGGGTTTTTCCGGCAATTATTCGATTTTTTTGGTTGGTCCAGGCGTTGTTGAGTTTTGCGCTTACCAACACATTTTGCGATTCATTTTTATATAAAAGAAGTATATATCTTCTTATATATAAGATATAGTTTCCATATTGTCTTACCTTTATACCCTTCCCTGGACTACGACGAGTATTTCAGGATTAAAATTGGCAAAATTTGTTCAGCCGAGTTTTTGCAATACTAGTAATAATAACTGATAATAAGCAACAAATCATTTATATACTGAACATATAATTTTTTTTACGGCATGTAAAAAATTTTGTCGTATTATTTATTAATAATATAGAATTAATAAATAAATTTATTGTAACACTACAATCTAATCTGTTATATTTTTATAAAATACACGATTGTTAAGTTAATAAATTAGATAATAAATTTTTTTATACAATTATTAAATTATTTTAATTGAACTTATAAATATTATTATTATAACGAATAATTTATGACGTAATATTAAGTAAATACGAATAATAACTGAATTTCTAATTTTTTTTTTACAAACAAAAATCAACGAGAATGTTATAGTTTTTATTATAAAATATCGAACTTTTAATATTATTACTGAATGAAGAAATGATTGCTATGTACTTAAAGTAAATACATAATTTAATGTTTTGTTTTTAATAATTAAATTTATCAAACTAATTTTACAGTTTTGAATTGGAATGGTTAGAGTGAATAACATTACAATAAATATAAGATTTATATCAGTAAATTCCTGGATCATATCATTTACTTTAGTTTATTGATAATTAATTCGACTACACGATGAGGTTGAACTTGTTGAATTATTGAATAATATTTTTAGTCGTTAAAAATGTATTTTTTTTGTCGCGTTATACTTTTTACGAGAATGATTTATATATTGTAATATCATAAAATTTTAAAGTAATCTGGTAGTTTGATGTATAAAACAATTCCACCGGAATTGATATCGTTGGTAGAATACTAACGCTGGAAATTCATTTGATCATAAATACGTAGACGTAAAAAAATAACTTTTAAAATTAGAATGTGATTCATTGAAAATTTAAAATAGTTCTATCTGGAATTGAATTTGTATTGAAGTAATTACACTTGATCAAGTTCCTTTATATTCATGTAGTTGCAAATGAATCACCTTCGGCATATTTTTATCCAATACCTATTCCGCCGCCTGAAGAGTTTGATAAAGTTCTGGAGCTCTTTGATGTAATCTCATCATAAAAGTTTCTCGTTTATCATCTTCATTATATGCCAAATTTGTTTTAGATTTATTAACTAACGAGACAACTAATGAAGGACTTTTCAAGGCATCGTGGGTAACCGCTAAATGTGGATTTGATCGATAAATTGGATAAGAATGTTGGTTCGCCAAACAGCTTTTGCTTCTTGTAAGTGATGTTCTATTTGATGATTGTATTTTATTATCTTCATTTTTATCTCTAATGAGAATGCCTGATTTCTTTTCATTTTTACCATATCTACCAAGTGTGGTTGTGACTGGAGTTGTTTCATATCTACCACTGAAAAATATTTATCCCAATTAAATATAACATAATAATAATAATAATAATAATAATAATAAATAAAACGTCTTACTTTGTTTGTTTAGAATTGTTAATATATTTATTTTCTCGTCCATATATACTGCCTCCATAAGGATCCTCTCCTAAATAATATCTCTGAGCAGGTGGGGCGGTCCATTTTTCGCTTCCTATATGAGAATCTATGACGTTGCATTTCTGATAAGTTGTTTCATCTTCAGGTCTTGGAGGAATTATCAAGGGCGGACTTGCAGACCGTCGTCTACTTTTTCTTTCCAAACTTGCTGATCGAATTTTTCCAACTAATTTTCTAATACCCTGTCCAATAGCGGAAGTGACCTTTTGTTTTGAAGCAACAGTATCGGCTGGAAAATGTACGCTACGACCGCGGGAAGGCTCAAGTTTCGTTGGCGGGGAACAAGAACCAGGCCTGTAAATTTTCTCATTATAGTTCTTAGACACAAAAATAATAAAACTGAAATGAACCGAATTGAAACTTCTTATATAATTATATTAACCTTATCTTTGTTTCTGTTGTCGGAGTTGTATTCTCTTTTCTCAAATGCGTCGAATAATCAATAGGTGGTTCGTCCTTAACGTATCCATTGATATCACCAACAAAACTTGGTGAAGGTGTAGTGGTTTGCTTCCTATGACGACTTCGTTGAGGAGGTGATGGTCTTTGGGTGTCAAACTGTTTTACTTCACGCGCCGTGTTTGTTGTTTCATACCTTGACAAGTTTTCTACTTTGTTGGCTAATCATGTAACAATATAAATATTAAAGCAAAATCTTTTCAACAATTTAATTCATACGCATAAAATTCTTAAAATGGTTTTTAGAATGGAATATTAACTAAAACATCACAACAGTCCACCTATCATCATGAACAATTCAATAATTCCACTATGCAATTCTGTTAAATATTTAGGCATGCACATTGATTCGAAATTGACATGGAGAACGCACATTGAATATAAAAAGAAACAATTCCAACTGAAAATAAAAGATTTTTACTGGCTTTTTGGGAGGAAATCTGAAATCTCTCTCGATAACAAGGTACTTCTGTACAAAACTATCATAGTGCCCATTTGGACTTATGGAATCGAACTATGGGGTTGCTCATGTAAATCTAACATAAACATCATTCAAAGGTGCCAGAATAAAATTCTGCGTATCTTTATTAATGCGCCTTGGTATATTTCGAATTTTTGCCTACATAAGGATTTGAAAATCTCAACAGTCAACGAAATGATCAAGATTAGAAGTTCATCTTTCAACAATAAATTAATCCAGCATACAAATCCTACAATTCAAGCGATTCACAGACCGATAAGAAGATTGAGCAAGAAATGGCCTTCCGATCTACCAAACACCTACCGCAATGTCTGCACGCGTCCTGACGTAGTACGCGGCATACATCATCACGTCATCGTTCATTTATGTTATTATTTTTGTATTACTGTTTTAATTTAATTTTTATTTTAAAATTTATATTCAATTTATTGCATTTTTTGTTTTTTTGTATTTTTTTTGCTCATATCAATTTTGTAAATAAGACATTGAAGTCTTGATTAACAAAAATAAATTGTAACAAAAAAAAAAAAAATAAAATAAAATTTTTACCCCTTTATGGCCCGTGCAGGCCTTTGTGGTT